TATACTGTACTTGAGATCCTCAAGGTTTTCTTCGGAATCATGGGTCATTCCAAACCCTGCAGGTATCTCATCTTTGTGTTGGAGATCTAGTTCATAAATCTCCTCATGCTCTAACGAATGATTACTCTTCATTTTGTAGCCGCATGACTCAGAGCAGCGAGTGAACTTCCAGGTTCCTTCTGCCCAGTTGATCTCAGGGTTATGCTTTCGGAGATAGTTCATCCTGACAATCATATCTTTAGATCCCAGGTCCATTACGAGACATGCATGCTTACTCTCATGATCTCCTATCTTGAGAAAAGCCATGACCATCGTCTTTATACAACCTCAATGGTTTACAGATCCATCAGCATTAATAACGGTGAAAGGATGTGGTAAATCTTCTTCAAACAAGTTATTATCCTTGACGAACCAGCGGTTGATAAATGTTGAGAATGCACCACTATCAACTAGTGCATTTGTTACTACCTCTTTCTTTCCTTTGGCAATTATGATCACAGGCACAGTAAATTTGTTTTTTGTCTTTGATGAATTAAATATACTCGATTCATCAGCTATTTTACAAATTCCTGGCTGGTCTTTCATAATGTAATTACAATGGAAAGAATGTTCTATGCCTGACTGTCCGGTAGACTCTACAACAGGCATCGACCAAAACCCTGCTCGTTATCCTCATCAGAGTCTATCTCCGAGATATGACCTGACGGACTTGGCGAGCGTGAAGGCTCAACAATCTTCGTGATCTTGACCTTCCGGTGTTTTTTCTTTGAAGGGCCAGGTGTTGCCTCAGGCGTTACTGCTGCCGCTTCAATGGCCTTTACTGGTTTTGGAGGGTTGCCAGTTCCCTTGGATTTCCGCACAACTTGAATCTCTACGTCAGAATCATTGTCGCTAGATAATTCAATTTGTCAGATTCTTCTAAACTGGGGTTTAGAGAAATCTGGTGATTTCCCTTTGCTACCTCCAGTACTAGAAGTCGTATTTGCTGCTGCAGGCCTAGCCGCAGAGTCTCCTGTTTTCTTACTAGGGCACAATTTGCCCCAGTGTCTGGGTTTGCCGCAAATGTAACATACACCTTTTTTCTGTGCTTCCTGCATGCTCAACGCATTGCCCTCCTGCCTCTTCCTTGGGTCAGAAGTGCTCCTTTGCTGTTGAGTCGGCTTGGAGCCAGACTGCTTCTGCTTGGATGTATTATCCACCTCCATGGCATTCGGATCTTTAGATGCCGGTCCCATTGAAGATACAGACTGGTGAATCCCCATGTCTTTGCAAATGTTGAGTACGTAGTCACAGTACTCCGACCATTTCTTGGGCCACTGGGAACTTCCTCTGGCTGCAAGGACATTTTTAATCTCTTTGTGCAATCGATCTCTGATTGCTAAGATTAATTCACTATCTGTTGAATTCACGAGGTCTGCTAGACCTCTGAACTCTCCAATGAACTTGGCAGTGTCTACTGCCAAGACCTTGTCATATTTCTTGAGCATTCCCAAGAATTCTTGATGTGCATCTTCTTCTTGATCTGTCGTGGTAAAGGCCCTTCTCATTTGGTGTAGGAAATCTTCATATTTCCCCAAATCTTTGGCGTCTTTGACCATGCAATAATAATTACCGGCCACTACATGGGCGCGGCCTTCCAACAAAGCAAGTACACCAGTGATTTGGTCTCTGTCTGAAGTCACCCTTTGGTGTGCATACCATACTGCTAGTTTTTCCACAAATTGTTCAAAGGTTTGTTCCTTTGAATTGTTTGCGAACCTTCCTGGTTGCGCAATCCTGAACCTTCTCTCCTCTTGTTCCGATGACATATGCATCGCCGGTTGTTGTGCCACTTGTGCCACATGTCGATTTAGTTGCCCTATGAGCGAATCTAAATCGGTCTGCAATTGTGTATTTGCCACTTCTACTGCCACCAAACAACTATCGGCTGCCGTTATTTCAGTCTGTTGATCTGAAATTACTCGGTCTGCTTGTATCATTCGCGTGAATACATCCTTGAAAACTCTTTGAACTTCTAGTTGTAGTGAACCCATAGTAGATTCGAGTATCTCCTTCCAGGCTCTCCTAGTGTTCTCATGGTTCTCTCCAGGATAGTATGTTGCTATTATTCGCTCATTGATTCGAGGTTGTAATAGGTATAGAGAAGCATCTGGTTCAATTCCAGCCATTGGTATTGAAGTAGATGGTGACGACATATTTTAATTGGGGTACTTGGTACAATTTCGTAGTAAGCGTCCTTTAGTTTACTACTGACATCCGATTGATTGATAGATAAAATTTTTTCAGAGTGTGTTATTCCAAATAACACTGTCTCTGCCCAACTCCGTGTGATCACTTTCCCGCAATATCTCTTTTACTAGTCTCCCAAGGTTCCTATACCTTGCGTCACCAAACTTGTCCCTGACTCGATTAATAAACTGCACAAGTAACCTTCTGGTTACCGGTCTATATACGTCTGCGCCGCGATAATTGATATTGGATAGGATACCACCTATCCGTCTTATCAAGAACCTAATCTGCTCTTGCTGCGTCATATTCAAAAGAGAATAGCCCATCTTATGCTGCAGACCCTGCAGATTGCAATGGATGCGATTCAGATGTTGCTTGTTAACAAAGGCAGATGAGTCTTCTCGTCTCCTTTGTTGTTGGTGAGTCTGACATACCCCTTCAGCTCTTGTGTAGGGCTGTGGTACATACTCAACAGTTTGTTCAGGTCCCACTTGGAACCTGTCGATGTCCTCTTGGACGTTGTTTGTGATGGGGGTAGGGGGTCGTGTACGAGAGTAGGGGTGATAATACCTCTGTTCTCCTGGGGTGTCCCTAAGAGTCATCCTCCTGCTTTGCAGCCAAGGAGGGAAAGGTCTTGAGCTTGAGGGGGCCACGCGTTCTTGTTGATCTCCTTCTGAGATTGAGTCGCTTACACTTGACTCACTGCTGACGATAGTAGAAGAGGATATTGGATCCTCCACTATTTCTCCTGTTTCCACGTACTCTAGGGAATCTTCTTCTTGCTCCCTGGTTTCTTCAAGTCCTTCCACAAGGCCTAAGAAGTCGGGGCAAAGACAATTGTCCTCGTAAGTGGGGGGTCGGGGCAAATAGTTAGGTGGTGGAGGTGAGTATGGGGGAGCAGCTTCTCTCCTAAACTCATCCTCAAGTGGGTGATGATATGGCGCTTGGCTCAAGTCAAAGTTGTTTGGGTCGCCGCCTGATTCTTCTGTGTGAGCCCTGTCAACTACTCCTGTTATCAGATCGTTCTGAACCGCAGCTAGGATTAGCTCGGCTTCAGGTCCTCCAACTCTCTGCCAGAGTTCTTCTTCTGATTGACTCCTTGCAATCTCGACTAGTTCCAGGGAATTGGCAACTCATCGTAAGAACCACTGCGTAGGAATTGGTTGTCGAGGTGATGAGGGTGTAGGTGAACTGCTTGCCTCTACTTCTTCCTGAACGTTTGTATCCTGCTCTCCTAACCTAATAGACTCTCTCAGAGTCTCTGCTAAACCGATGTACTTCCAAAAGAGTTCTTCTTCCGTGGGGGTGTTGAGTCCTCCTGCGGCAAGACTAGCAAGACGTCCTTCGACGAATTGTAGTTGTTCGGTAGGGGTCCCAAAGAATGGGAAGTGGGTAAGGGGAGAATGGGTACGAGCTTCTTGAAGGTCCTGGGCAAACTGGGAAGCGTGCGATGACACTTCCCGAGGGAATGAGTTTATCTGTTAACACAAACGACAATGGCACAAGGAGAGTGGTCGACGATGATAGTCGACTAGTAGGACAGACTTGATATTATGTCAGGGTATAGCCCCTGACCTTAACCCTAAACTCCAACCCAACACTCACTAGTAGATATGTTGAAGTTACAAGATGTAAGCGAGT